GTGAGCGTCGTTGATGAACGACATGAACTGCGAAAAGGAGTGGCTGAAACAATTCGATCGTTATGCCACTTTTGTCAAACTCGAACACTTTTCTGAAGAAGATATGCAGCATTATCTGACAACTCGGAAAATAGATTATCTTCGGGGCCAAGTTGAAAAAGTAGATTATTTATTGCTATAAAAGAAGATATACTTTTTTAGGATATATTTTTGAAAGGCCCTGCCATCAAGAGCACAACTTTCGCGACTGGAAGACCTACTCCACGGCCGTCTTATGGCCAATGGAATGTACCACCAACTTTCCGCGTCGCCTCACTCGATGCTGTCGCTCGAAGACCAGAAGGCGTTCGGCATCCTCATCGAGACGCTCGACCCTAGCCAATATCGTTACAATCAACACCCGACTCAAGTGCGCACCGCGTACGAGGCACTAGTTATCCAACACGAGCCAACTTCGAAGATCGATCGGATCCAAGTAGCTATGGAATGGATCAGGCTCAGTTGGGACGTGCGCCAGGAACCTTGCCGGATTTCATCCATCACTTCCAAACACTCGTCCAACGACTACACGACGTCCGCGCGCCGCAGTGAGTGCAACAAGTGGTGAAGCTCCCAGCCTTAATACCAAGGGACTTCCGCCACATCGTCGACCGTCGGTCCCACCTTCCGGAGTCAGATCAGACCGTGAAGGAAAACAAGGTCGCTCTCGAGACCGAATGGAAGGCAGCCGTCCGCAACGGCGCCATCAAGTTGCCACGTGCGCACTCCAACCATGAAGGCGCCTTTTTGTCGAAGGAGGATGTGGCAGTCGTGGGGGCGGTGCTCGAGGACGAGGCCGTGACCGAAGATACACCCGCGATCGCAAACTGTCGGGAAATCAAGACGGAGCCAAAACTGGCAGCTGCCACTACTGTTGTAAAGACGGCCACTGGCAAAGCGAGTGCCGCAAGAAGGCAATGGACGCAGGGCAACTGGTCAAAAAGAGTGGCCCAAGCTCGAAGGACGAACACTCCAACACGGCTAACGTCTTCACGTTCTCCGCAAAACACTTGGACATGTCATCTCTCTCTTCGAACAACGGGAATGAGGACATGCAAAACAACATCGAAAACGTACCCGAAGTCCTGGGTGAACCGGAGGAACCGACAGAGGTCAATGATCCGACTTGGAGCGCGCATACCCGTCCACGACGCACAATTAACCTCAACGGAATGCGCTACGAATGCACGTTCATGTCCCGCACAGAATTCGATTTTAAGTCTGAAGGCGATGAAGCCATGGTTGCCCATGACCACGGCAGCAACTCCATCGCCCAACGTATCATTGTTGATTCCGACGCCTCGGCTCGCATGATCGGTGCCTCCAAGCAGTTGTACCACCGCAAGAAGTTCCATCGACAAGTCGTGGTTGCAAACGGCGGCGTCACCGTTGCTACAACATTGGGCAAACTCAACATCATCACGCCCAACACGACTGTGCTCACTTTGACCGACGTGCTGCTGGTCGACGGTATGACATCTACACTGTAGTCTATCCCGGCACTCATGCGCACCAACAAGCGCATCACGGTGGAATTCTACCGATCAACATGCACGATCCTACACGCACGTAAGCCGGTCGCTCACGCTACAATGGGTCAAGACCAGCGACTGTGCCTGCTGGGCGGCGTTTTTACCCTTCATCACGCCTGTCACGCGATTGCTGACGCCACCACGCTCTGGCACCATCGCATTGGACACCACCCGACCCAAGCACTCCGCGTCTGCGCTCAGGCTTGTCTCAGCCTACCACATCAACTCGCCGACATGGCACAACCGTGCATGAACTGCCCACGCGCCAAGATGCATCGCGTCACCGTCTAAGCAAAGCACGCTTGAGTTAATGCCAGGCGAATGCTGGTACTCGAACAGAAAAGGACAGCTTCCCACCCCGTCCGTCGGCGGTTGCCGCAACTACACTGTTTACGTCGACGAGTGATCTGGCTTCAAGATCGTGCTCTTTGTATACTCGACGGAGGCCGCCATCCAAACAGTAAACATGACGCCCCACAATGCAAGGTACTTATCCCCGACTCGCCGCGTCCGTCGCAAACTATCTCGCACTTCCGACCAGTTCCGTTCACAGCTCCGCCAACAACGTCAACAGTCTGTGTCGTTCCGCATACCTCCACACTCGCCACAACCGTATCGCTCAACATCCACGACCATAACACTTGCACCGGCCGCTCGCTAAGCCAAACCATCGCAGACATGAGCGCTCGCACCCCTCCAACTACGCCAACTCGCACCATGCCGTTCGACCGCGCTGCATCTTCTGTCTCCCGCCGCTTGGAATGCCAACACAAGCCAAACCCACGCTATGCATCGCTCGCCTTAACATTCCAAAACCCCGACCTTGATCCCAACCTTGCCGCCGCCGCCATGAACCTTAACTAGAAGGCTACCAAAATGACGATATCATGCGAGAGTCAAGCGCGACCTACCGCATCGACGGCGTTGAATACGCATGGCTGCCGTTCAACTCCACCCAGTTCACAATAGCCACCGCAAAGCCATGTCGTCACCCGACTGGCAACATTGGAAGGACGCTGAAGATGACGAAGTGAAGCAACTGCTCACGTTGAAGTGCTGGTCCGTCCAAGCACCACCGCCAGGACGCAAGATCATCCGCGGCCGCTGAACATACGCACGCAAAACCAACGCAGATGGCAACGTTGTCCGCTGGAAGGCAAGTTGGGTCCTCATGGGGTTATCGCAAACAGCAGGAGTCGATTACGGCGAGTCCTCGTCCAACGTTATCAAGATGACGTCGATTCGAGCAATCTGCGCCGTTGCCATCTCCAGCCGCATGTTTAACGAACAGGCCGATGCAATCAACGCCTACATTCAAGCAACTCACAGCAAACCGATATGGGCCGTCGAACCCGAAGGTCACGAAACTCAATGTGGAAAAGCTGCGCTAGTCACCATGGCACTGAATGGTCTCAACCAAAGCGAATTCGAGTTCGAGAAGCACTGCAAGAAACAGATCGCCGACCTGGGATGGAAGCAAAGCGCCCACGACCCATGCGTCTTCACCCGCGGCCAAGGCGACGACATGGTGTTTCTCGGCACGTATGTCGATTACTTCATCGTCGCGACCCCGACGCAGGCCAAGATGGACGAGACCATGGACGCGCTCGCATCCATGATCGAAATCAAGCGACAAGGCCCGATCAACTACATGTTGGGCATCCGCGTTAGCCGAAACGACAGAGGATCAATGATCACCATGTCCCAAGACGCGTACACCGCCAAGGTACTCGAGCGTTTCAGCATGACGAACTGCCACCTCGTCGCGACGCCGGAAGTCGCCTGTCAAGTAGACCAATGGCATGACGAAGATCAGCCAAGTGTCGATCAAGCGGAGAACCGAGCCATCCACGGGTGGCTGGTTTACCTGATGGTCTGCACCCGTTCCGACATCGCTCACGCCGTCCAACGTCTGTCCTGCCATCTTCACACCCCATGCGCACCTCACCTCGTCGGTACCAAACGAGTTCTACGATACCTGTCAGGGGCTCAAGCATGGGGATCAAATTCGGTTCAGGGGAGCCTACCTTGAGTGGATACTGCGACGCGAGTTAGGCAACTCGACTCGACCACCGCTCAACGACAGGCTTCCTGTGGTCGTTTCTCGGTGGCATCTTGATGTGGAAGTGCATCGCCACCACATCACTGCCCTATCCAGCTGCGAGGCCGAGTACATCGCCGCTGCTAAAGCCGCGCGCGAGTCAACTTGGCTGCGCGGTCTGATGGCCGACCTCAGCGTCATCGCCGACAAACTAACCCTCAACTGCAACAACATGTGCGCGATCGGGACATCCCAGTTCTACGGCGATCATCAAGGGCACGAAGCACATCGGCGTCCGCCACCACTACCTCCGCGAACTGGTCCAAAGCGGGGCCTATCGCTCAAGTTCGTCCCCACGGCCTCCATGTTGGCCGACGCGTTGACAAAGCGCGCCACAAAATTCTCCATCGAGCATTTCACAAAGACAAACTGCCAGACGACGAGCATTCCGCCCACCCCGTCGCAGCCGAAACTTGTCAAGAAAAATGGTCAAAGTCAGCAGGTTTAGGGGAGTGTTGAAGTTCGGTGCTATCCGGCCAAGCCGGTTACGAACGTGGAACCCTGCGTGACTGATTGATATTTCACATGTGTGCATTGCATGTTGCCATGGGCAGTATCATGAAGAGCGTGTCGAGAACACTCGTATAAACTTATATGAGTTTAAGAGGGCATTGAAGTCAAAGGATAGCATAACACTCTTAACTCACTTTTCGGTTTGCCTCCTTGGATCAAAGTCGTTTGCTCACGCTTGCCGCTGCCCTTCCTCGACCGCCCTATCGAAACAAGGTCGTTCAGCATGCCCCTTCACGTCAAGTGCTCTTCACCAGTATGCGCCTAGAGTAACTTAGGCCCTGGTCGGGGAAAATACTGGGACGAAATTTAAACTTGGACTCCTTGCTATCCGGACGATATTAACCGGTCGCAGTTTGGCATTTCGA